TGCTGCTGTTGCTGCTGTTGTTGCTGCTGTTACTCTTGTCGTTGCTGAAGTTGCTGCTGTTGTTGCTATTGTTGTTGCTGTTGTTGCTATTGTTGTTGTTGCTGCTGCAGTTGTTTGCAGTTATTTATATTGCCTACTGTTGTTGTTGTTGTTGTGTTTTTTTGTTTTTTGTTTTGTTTTTGTCATTTTTTAAAGTTTTTTTTTGTCTTTAATCGAAATTTCTTTTAAAACTTGTTGTTTTTGTTTTGACTCGTCTTTCTACCATCTTTACTGAGGGAAATATTTGAATATCCTTTTTTAGAATGGATTTTCGATTCATTCGAATGAAAGTACTATAGACGACCAAACAGCACTACAATATTGTAAATATGAAACAGAAAACTGGGTTCCACGTTTAACTCAGGTAATATCCGATACACTTCTATAATTCTCGAGTTCTCTGTTACTCAGGGTTAGCATTGATTTGTGTAGAATATTCATGTGTTCCAGTGAAGGTCCGTGGAATTTCAAAGTGTTTTGTATTCTTGAAGTCGTGCATTCTTTACTTTACCGTTGGTATTTGTGAATATTTAGACACTGATACGAGGCTAAACCTGAGCAAGGCCCCGTCCACACGTGTCCGGAAATTTTTGTGTCCGTATCGGCAAATTTTACGAAAACGGATACGTGTGGACGGTGAAAACGATTCGAATACGCTGCGTGTGGACGCAAACATTTTCGTATCCGCAAAAAATAATTTGCGGATACAAAAATTTCCGGATACGTGTGGACGGTTCCTAAATGAGTCTGAAATAAAGGAACAAAGCAGAAATGTAAAACTCGAAACCGGTCTAATTAAAATAAGTTTATCGGAGGTAAATAAGATAGGCGATAGGTCATTCGAAAACGGAAAAAGATTATGAAAATACATACATCTAAACAAATATTAGGCGTATGATCACAGCCCTCACAGGCAGCCCAATCTCTTGTTCTGTGGTGATGTAGTATTTGAATTCATGTATGTTAACGGCAATATTTCGTAGCATGTAAAATTAGTACTTTTAAGAATAAGAACGACTTTCCTTGATAGCTTGTATCTTTTGATGTCTAACAGAATAAGAGATTGGGCTGCCTGTGATGATGCTAAGACAGAAGTAGCGCGGAGAAGCTCAGTATTTTTATCGTAGCATTCACAGTCAACACTTGACTAATCCGGGTTCATTTATTTATCTGTAGGTTCTTTCAAGTGACCAGGCTTGTCACGTCCTCACAGAAATGTCACCTGGAGGTTCTTTGATGGAAAGCACCTCAGATATCAACATGCAACGTAAGTTCTGCTTCTGCTTCTGCTCTGCTCTGCTCTGCTCTGCTCTGCTCTGCTCTGCTCTGCTCTGCTCTGCTCTGCTCTG